AGTTATTCTCTCTGAACTAATAATATAAAATTCTTGATGTTAGAGCTGTCTACAGTGACACTGGACTCATCTGACAGAAGGCCTTTTGATCTGGTCCAAACCCTAACATTTGTTTTTTCAGGCTTTCAGTGAAACCCCATTATTTTAATGCACCACTGGGCTTCTGGAACTCTAAACCTTGCTACATCAACCAAGACTGCAGTTAGGATGACATTTTTGCTTTATGAATTAGACACTGAATAAAGCTATTTACAAAATTTATTTTCTGGAACATCGTGGGGAAAGAGAGGAATCAGACTTTTTTTTCAACATCTGTCTCAGGAATGGCTTCTATTTCAGTTTATTATAATAGTTTTAGATTTAAATGTTCACCAAGAAAACTCATACATACTTTTAGTAATAAATATATACAGTGCTAAGCACGTCAATGCTGCATGAGACATTTTGCATCTGTGCAGATTTTTTAAACATTTTTTCTCTCTTAATCATCTCTTATCAGTTATATTACTGAAGTACAAGATAAAAGAACATTTTAACTTGAACAGATCAGCAACACAGTAAAGAATTATGACTTCACCAAGCAGGTGCTTATTTTTCAGCAAAGATCCATAATTCTTTTCCACTGAGAATGTATTTGTAAAGACCATATTAGACTTCACTTCTGATTGAAAATATTCATTTACTCTTAGAAATATCTTATTCTCCTTGTATTCTCCTCCACACCTTGCTAATTTTGTTCCCATACTCTTTCCTTAGTTCATGTTACCCTGATTTTGCAGGGATTTTTTTCCATCAGACTCTTCCTCTTCCCAAGTTCCACAATCATTTACCCCTTCACTTTGGACAGGGCCTGGGGTCTTTCCCAGGGTGCTGACAGTTCAACTAAAACCTCGTGTTCAGTGAACCCACTCAAACACAGTTCTGGCAGGACAGAACTGCAAATGGACACATGAGTCAGGATAAACCATTTTATGGCAGTGTTTCAAATGAGCACGTTAGGGAGGTCTTGCACATATCTTTTTTATGCCCCAGCCATAAAACCACACCTCTTTATGACAACAGCAGGTTGTATGAGAGTCCAAAGCATAAAGGCATTGGAGGAGGTGAGTTCATCTGCTGATAAAACACAAATCACAAACAAAATTCCTGGTCCCACTTGTTCCAATCACTGCAGCCAAAAGCAAACAGAGTCACCTTACGGAAGTTTTTGTGGATCACATGCACTTGCTTTATTTAGGTGTTACACCTGCTGGCACAGATGATCTTGGCATAGCAATTGTGTTTCTGTGCTCTCATTGATCAAATTATTTTTCTAAAGACACACTTGCCTGTTTGCACAAGGGCTTCTCTTAGAGTCCTTCCTAGATTTATTATCTCTTGTCCTTATTTTATTGCCCTGAAACTTTCACATCATCTCCTCACTCACTGTTTGCAGTTATTGAGTAAAGCACAGAGAAAACACGCCCCTTCAGCCTTTTTCCTCAGCAGCTAGGACAGAACCACCACACCCTGTGCTTTTAACAGTGCAAGCACTGGTTTGGTATCACAATGATAAATACTGTATGAGCATCCACAGTAGACAAAAGACATTTAAAGGAAAGGGAAGTGGTCAAACAGTGGGACTGCACTGTCTTTGTGAGGGCAATATCCACTGTGTCAAGGAGGATGAAATACACTGTACACCACTAATTCTTGGTGGGATTTCACTCTTCTGCAAATTTTGATTTCATTTTATATCATGCCCTGAGAATCTGAAAGCAATAAAATTCTTCCTGATAGGAAGAGAACAATTTAATTAATTTATTCATGAAATTGTTCATTTAAGTAATAATCCACTTGTCCTAGCTTCTGCCAAACTTGTTTTTATCTCAACTGTTGCATTTTGAGAGCATTGAAGTGATGCAGCTGTCATATGGTAGGCTTACTTAAGGGAAAACATTTCTGAATCAAATATTTAAAAGTGTTCCAAACTCTAAGGAGTTTGGAGTTTGGAGTTCTTGGTTTAAATATCAATATTTTTTAAACTCCTTTGAGTTTCAAACCATAACATCTGTAAAGCAGTATTATTTTCAAGGTTTCCAAGTGCAGTGTGATTGATCCCATCCTGGGCAAT